ATGATTTTTTAATTTTCTTTCAGTTTACTGAAAATTTTCTGGCTCTATAAAGTGATTTTTTTCTAATGACAAATACGGTTTTGGGTGCCTGACGAAATTGTACAGAAATATTCACTGTCATTCTCAAGAAAAATTCCAGAATCTACTTTATCAAAGTGATACAGAGGGAAAGGAAAATAGAATTGAGAAAAGAATTACATGTAGATTTTAATGTAATAGCTTTGGTCCCTTCTAGTGTCTATTATGAAATTTCATTACAATCTCTTGTAATAAATTTTTGATATTTGAATGAAGCAGTATGCAATCCATAGTAAGGCAGTAATTACTTGGTGTTCTATAAATGCTAATTCATATGAACTTAGGAAAAAATCATACTCTATAAAAATAGATATTGGATCTAGGAATAAGGAATAACCAATTTTTATGTGGAACTTCAACTGCAATCCTGGACAAATAGCTTAACACTTCTATGTAATGTTTATATGAAAATTGAATATGGTAAGAATTATAAAGTACTTCACAATTAGTGCAACATATATCAACACACTATTCTTCCCTTATTTATCAATAATGAAATTTCCTTACTGGCACATAATGCAAAATGATAGATGCAAAAGATTCAAAATTCATTGACAGTTGAGCAGAAAAAATAAAACAAAAGGAATTAATAACATGAGATAAGGGAGGAACCTTATGCTTTTTTCCTCTAAATTGAATTCAGAGTTGGAACTGTCAATATTTACTTAGTAAATAAAAATGATAACATACTACAAAAATGTGCATCACTCATTCAGTGCACTTACTCTTGTACATCATATGAAAATGAAACCATATATTACAGCCTGCTAAAGACAGACCAAGAAGGGATAGATTTTAATAGTGTAATCAAATTTTGTGGTCAAGAAATTAACACTTATTTAACAATGTGTGTTAAATAGCATGTTTGTGAAAGTACAATACTGAGAATATCCTAATTCATGTCTTAAATGTGAAACAGTAAGTAAGGAAATTAATGAATGACAAAACAATGAATGAGGACTCAGATGGAAAAAATGGTGGAAGTATCCAAAGAAGGAACCAAAGTAAATAGTGGAAATAGATGAGCATGAACATATGTGAGCATATATGTTAGCAATGTCATCTAACTAAATAGATCATGAATTTGCAATCTTTTTAGATTAGTCATGGTAAATTTACATTGAAGATCATATAAATAGAAGCTTATGTATGTTCAACCATCATTGACATTGTTCACTCAAGGAGCAGGCAGTATGTATTTCCCCCAAAGAGAAGGCATTAAAAATAGTAACAAAAACCAGAATCAGATGTCACATCAAAATACAGAATACAAATATTTGAGGAACATTTTGATTAGGGAAAATTACATTTAGGTGAAATCTAACTGAGAGAAATATCTGTTCCTTTCTTTATCAAGTCTGTGCTAGATTGAGATTGCTTAGCATATATTTTTAGAACAGTTTTTGAGTGTAAATTTATTTTGGGGAAGACCTATCTAAAGATATGAAACAATTTGAAAATCTTCATATTAGAAATGCCTTATTCCATGTATGAATATAGCTGACATTTAACAAATATTGTGAGTGGAAGTTTACATAATTCAAATAAATTAAACTGACTGAAATGATGTCAAAATAATTTCATATATTTAGTATTTTATAAATGTGAAATTATATCCACATTATGCTTAATTTTCTAATACAACTAATGAGTAGATGACTTATAAGAAAAGACTGAAGTTTGATTTTAACTTTATTCTCTATGTCCTAACAGATGAAGCCACCTTTCTCTAAGAACCTTTGATAGATGAATACATGTCCATCCCTGAGCTTTAGAGGTAATTTTGGTACCTCACACTAAATTTGGTGAGAGTCTAGATTCACTTATTTTTTCCAGTTAGAAAAACAGTACACCCTGTAGCTTTAAAAATTGTACAAACCAAAGGTTTCAGAAGCAAAAGTAAAACCAAAGTAAATTAATGACAGGCTTTGGACTAAGGAAGGAAATAAGTGTGCCGCAGATGGTCTCTTTCCATGATTTGCATGTCTGTGATCCCTTTTCCTTTGCCTCCTGCTCTTTCTGTGTGTGTTTGCGTGTATACCACAGTGACTACATAAAAAATAATGATTTTTAAGACACTGAATTTTTTTTTTGCTTTATAAGAAAGTTGAAAAATGAGCAAAATAAGCTAACATAATATTAAAAGGGAACTAGAGAGATGGGTACTGTTAAGGGCAATATACTTCAAGTTTCCCATGTATTAATCACATTGATGATTCAAAACTTATTGCATTGTGGAGATATTTCCTTTTCAAAATGATGTCAGAGTGATTAACACAGAATATGAACTGATCAGTAATTTTCTGAGATGGAGATTATATACACGATGTTCCACCTTCAGGATTCTGTTGTTTCTTTCCTCTTAAAATTAGTTTAAGAGTACTTTTACCATTTGAAAACAGTATGAATGAACTGAAATCACATCATATGCTTTTCTTACCCAAGCAGTGTAAAGCAAAGTGCTGAACAATTATATGGTGAATTTGATTAATTTTGACAGGCAGTCTAAAATTCAAGCCAGAATCCCCTGTTCTTTCTTCCAAAGAAGGTTTTCAGACCAAATTATATATCTAATTGCATCAAATCTCTGCTTTACCTTGGCAAAGGCCTCAAAAATTCTGCACGTGTAAATGAGTTTGCTAATAAGCTTTACTAATTCTATGTTTCACCACTATTTTATAACTTCTTTATCAGAATACATAATCAAAACAGTGATGGGTAAACACTGAAAGTCATCACAGAATGTTGACTTTTCCAAATTCCTGTGCATTGCATTTACCATATAAAAGTTGTGATTTGTGGAAACAAGTACCATTTATAATGTGATAAAATAGTAATTCTATATGAAGTTTCCCTCATTCTCTTGCTTATTTTTTGCTATAGATTATCTCAATCATTTCCTTTAGTCTCACCTTAATGACATAAGGAATATATGGCATCCTATGATAATATGTCCTTGACTGTAATTCATTATTAAAATTGAGCTTCCCTGAAGACCACTAACACTATTTGCCACTGCTTCTACATAATTCAATCTAAAAAATAATCTACCCCCCAGATCCTACAAGAGGCGATGTAATTCACTATGGACATTCATGAGTCTAAAACAATCTTCTCAAAATTTCTTAATGTAAAATGGCTATTTTAACTTAGAGATAAACAGAAATAGACGAAAGGGATGGGATCTTGCTTCTGAGATGGAAATAAATTAACTTTGAGGCTATTTATATCTCATAACAATGTGTGGAGCATTGCCAACAGGCCACAGATGCACACCCCATCAGGAGCCTCAGAGACATCTGCCAGGTGAGGTAGATACAGATTAAACTTAATGTAGAAATGAATGTCAATCACCGCCCAGAAAGATATTTCAAGTTTTTTTTTTAACAGAAATAATTCTTCATATATAATTTGCTTTTCCAGCCAGATTAATCACCAGCAAAAATGTTCTAGTTCCCTACACTCATAGAATTGAGAGTAAAGACACAAGATAGAAAAAAAAAAAAAAAAGAAGAGAGAGATAAATGGGCCAGAAAGAAAATGAGAGAGAATATTAATCTTTTGTATAATGTAAGAAACATTAAACATTAAATAGTAACTTTATCTATACCTCATAACTTTAAATTTTTAGGTAAAATTGAATTAAATTATTTTTACATTAAACCTTATATTACCACAAAGTGTTCTTGATCACTTTGTTCTCATGATATTTCTTCCTATGTTTACAGCCCCAAAAAAGACACAAATCCTGCGAAGACCATTACACATGAACACTTATTTTTCATTCCTTCCTACCACAGGGTCATCTTTAAACTATATGAATTTGGATCATTTGTATTGTTATTGTAATCTAAGACACAGGTAGAACAAAAATCAAACACTGTGTGTTTCTGTGAATCACTCAGAACATTGACACAAACACCATTATATATATATATATATATATATATATATATATATATATATATATATAGTATGTTGAGGAAGGCAGCAAACAGACAAAGAAAGAGAGAATAAATAAGAGGAATTCAGGTAAAGAGAAAATACTCTAGAAATTGTCCATTGTAGAGGCTGTCAAATATTTGTAGACGACAGGCATATCTCCTGAGAAGCAGAAATTTCAACTTTACTTCCTGTCATCAGAATGCATTAATTCCCCCATTCCACCACATAGAAAACATTTGATATTTAGTCCATTTGTATAGTAGATATTTAAGCTACATGGGAAGCATTTTTCCCTTTTGTCTATCCCTTAGCCCTCCACAAATATTTGTGGAAATGAAAAAAAATATTCTTTCAATTTTTTAGCAGAAGAAATTTCTATCAAAGAACATTGACTACAACACTGATAAATGAGATGATTTTTCTACAATTTCCAGTACAATATCTAATATATTGTTCCTATGATGACTCAAACTTTGCCAAACAATGTAAATCCATGTTAGTGTCTGCCTCCTCATAGACGTGCTGAGAACAGTGGCCTTCATCTCTTTTTTCTCATTCACAAAATAAATCAGGGTAGATGTATCTCTATTTAATAAAATATTGTTTCAATTTTTAAGGAAAGAAATTTGAGGTTGATACAAGAGGAAAATTATCCCTATTTATTTTTTACTCCTATTTTGGATGGCCTTGAGGTGGGTAAAATTTTAAAAGATGTTAAGTAAACATCACATAAAATATCAATGTATAAGTGATCATTGAGATGAGAAAGCTGAGAAAAGAAAGCAAGTAGTGAGCATATATATATATACACACACACACACACACACACACACACACACACACATAATTTCATATAGTTCCACACGTGTATTTTGAATCAGAAGAGCAATGAAGTTTATATGTAATGATTCACTTAGAAGTGCTCCAAACATATATCAGTTTAGAATAAGGCTTTATAGATTTACAAAGCTGCTAACCTTCTTTGGTACAATTTGCTTGGGTTTCATCACTGAAGTCTCCACAGTCATTGTCACCATCACAGGTCCAATGTCCAGGGATACATCTGCCACTGGAACATCTGAACTGATTGTCAAAGCAAGCGTGAACGCAGCCCAATTCATCGCTCCCGTCTCCACAGTCGTCATCTGAGAAGAACCAGCAACATCAGGTAGGAAAAACTGATCCAGGAAGACAGGTTTGGTTTTTGTTGTTTTTATTTATAAAACATGTATCTTTTTTTTTTTTTTTTTCTGTATAGAGTTTGTTTTTGTCTTGGAAAAAAGAGACAATGATTCAGTGATCAATATTTCCCATGCCTAGTGTGAAAATTATTTTCAACTTGATACAGTTGATTGCTTCTCCTTTAGTTCAATATCAGTTCCTAAATTAAGGCAAAGCACAAGCACGACTGTAATAAAAGATGAATAAAAGGAAACAAGTCTCTTGGAAACTGCAATCAGTATAGGAGATCAAAGGTGAGGGAAGTGGGGGAAGGTAAGGAGAAATAAGAAGCATTGAAATATGCCACCTACAGGTGATGAGTACCCACAGTGATGTTACATGTCATAAATATAAGAATAATAACAACAAGAAAGCAAAGGAGAAAAGGAAAGAGACAAAGGAGGGAGGTGGGTGGAAATGGGCAAGGGACTGAGAAAGAAGTAATTTGTGTTATGTCCAAGGACCTACTCTTCAAGATTAATGCAATCTTTATGCGCTACCATTGTACTAATACAATTCAAATTTTAAAAGGAACGAATAAACTAAGAAAAATCACAGACTTTGGATTTTAAATCTTAACTTCTCTTTCACTCAGAAATAACTAATGACTGAATGCATCTATGCAGCATGAAAGAAAGGGAAAACAGTCATTTAGAAATTTCATGGAATGATACAAACGATGGCTTAATTATTACAGAAAATTATTCTTCAATCTAAAATCCCTATGCTCCAGAATTTATAGTTTTATCCTCCATTTGGTCCCTTCTTCTCCATTCTCCAACATGAAGACTTACTCGGCACTCCTGCTATAATACGTACCCACCATGCTTGTACTTCTACTTGGAAATTGTTGTACAATATGATTGGAAGTGATTCAGATTTTTATTAAAAATAATTGCAGGAGAGAGGAAAAGAATACGTGAAGAAAGAGATTAAAGTAAATGGCTGAAAATGCATTGAGTCATATAGTTCATTTGCTTTTGGAATAACTTAGCATAGTGATACAACTGAGTATGCGAATAACCATCACTTGTTCATAAAAGGCAAGGTGTCACTGTTGAAGCCATCTGGATGATTTGACAATATTTTCTGAACTAACTCATCCTCAGTTCCCATAAATGCTTTGGTGTATCTGAATTATCCAAGTCTTTTCTTAATCACCCCCTTTTATGTTTGTAGATTTAGGCTGTGTGCAACACGATACTTGAAAACAAGCTTCTTTCGTAGCCCCATGGGGCAAACACTGAACTCCATTATCCTCAGCACTAACCCCCAGCCATTTGTCTTAACCGTTTTTCATTGCTCTGCAAGCTTCTCTAACAAAGTATCTGTGATTGTAGCCAAGCAGCCCAGAGAACCAGGCCCCCAGTCAAATCTGTGGAGTGTGTATTTGGTACTTGCCAGCATCGCAGTGCCATTTGCTGCTAATGCATCTTCCATTTTTGCATATAAATTGAGTCAGTGGCTCACAAGTTGGGAATTCTGTGAAAGATAAAATAACATCCAATAGGAAACATGTTATTAATTATGCTTGACTGAATTTGCATCTCATTTACTAATGTAATTAGAGCTCTTCTCCTGTTCTCTATGAAGGCACTGAGGAAATGGTAGCTAATGGAATATAGTAACAGTACATTACTGAGGACTCATATTTTCAGTATATTTCAAAGGAGTGTTTCCCAGTGACTGGATGCATAAGCGGGTCACCTAATGCAGAATTATTTAGATTTATTACATTGTGAAGAAAAGTAAATAAAAATTAACTTTATGTACAGCAGGACTCAATTCCTAAACAATGAATAATAGTAGATGGTGTTTGATATACTGTTGCTGCCTTGGATTGCATTTATGCTTCAATAGAAAAAGTCTTCTGTGAACACAGAGAGAGAATAATACAGCTGGATCTAACTGTGGACTCAGACATATCAATATCATAAGGTGAAAGCAAAAATAAATTACCTCAACATTAGTTTAAACTTAAGTTTAGTTGGTATTACTTACAAAACTTTTGTAAATATGAATTCTGAGTCTAAAGTAAGAACAAAACATGAAAAAATAGCAAAGAATGGGATTTTAAAATGAAAATATATGCAATTAAATAAACATCTTTTTTATCCTTAGATAAATATAACAACAAAAAGCATAGAATAGAACAGAAAAGGGCTTTTGGAAAATACAGATGACAACACTGGCATAAGTCAATCATCAATACTGATTTTTAAAATGTAATAGTTACCACAGAAATATATAATTGCTAAATAAATCATCCAAATGTTTTGAGTAACTCAATAGTATTTACCAGTAAAATATTTTGTTCATCTTATTTCACACACAGAGCAATTCACCTAGTATTTTAAGAATTGTTCAACACCCTTCATTTAGCTACCAAGTTAATAAGCTTGGAATCATAAATCTTCACACACTACAGCTTACTTAACAGATATTGAAGAAATTCTTAAAAAGAAAAAGAAAAAAAGAATATATCATTTCATTCATATAAAGGAATAGATAAGAAATACTCTTCCTCTGACAACTGAAGCCAAAGACATTTTGTAGCAAGGTTTTTTTTTTTTTTTAAATCTTTAAGATAACTCCCCTAGAATTGCAGAATAAATTTGATAGAAGACAGCATGTTTTCAAATTATGTTTTGTAAGTTGTCTTGGGATTATCTAAGATATCACAGGGCTAAGCCAGTTGGAATTCAGTGCTAAACTATAAACAAATGTAGTTATCCTTTACCTATACATCTATAATTCTGTTTACCTATAAGCTATGTATATATGCACCTGTGGTTTTAATTTTTGAGTTTTGTACACTAACTTGTTTTAGGAAATTATGTAAAAAATAAAAATGTATTTTATAGTTTAAAAAACTAAAACTACAGTGTTGATTATGTCCAAACATTTTAGTCCTAAGGCAACTGACATTCAGAAAATGTTAGGCTCTGCTAATGTTATAGGTATCACCATGAGAAAAAAAAATTCTTATAATTCAATTTTTAAATTCAGCATTTATTCTTCTTTCTACCATACTCTATTCCTAATTTCTTCTCTTGTTTTCACTTACAAATCACAAATGTATTCAAACTATTTTTGTATACTCATATTTTAGTATATATTATATATAAAAATTAAACATTTTCAAAAATATTTATTATCCAGAGTAATACTTCTTTAAGTTTATCAGAAATGTGTCTCAAAAATAGTTGCATTACTGCACATTTGGCTCACAAGATTTTGTCCAGTTCTAGTCATTAAATTTACATAATTTTATAATTGTTGATATTGCTATCACTTGAAATGTTTTAGATAATTTGTTTGGTTTTTTTTGAGACAGGGTTTTGTTGTGCAATTCTGGCTGGACTTAAACTCACTTTGTAGCCTTGCTGAGTTTGGACTAGCAGTGATCCTCCTGCCTCAGCCTCCTATGTGTCACCACTGCCAGTCAGAATTACTGGCATGCACCACCACACCTGACTAAATATTATTATTAAATTATTTAGCAGAATCAACTTTTTATTAACTTTTATAGTGAAGATTGTACCAAGATTAGCCTAAATATTTTTTTCAAACACAGCTATATCTGATCGACTCTGAGAGTTTGAGAACTTTACATTGTACTTTTACCAGTGGTTCTGTTCAAAATTAGGACACAAAGTGTCTTTTTAGTACTTCAGTTAATAGAAGCTTCTAGAAGGATTTGTATTTTTACTTTAAAAATACTATTATTACTAGTTCTTTTATTGTGCTATAGGGGTGATGGCGGTGGTTTTGTTATAATTTTGATGCTGAAGGTTAATTCAAAACTTTCACATAAAGCTAAATCTCCATCTTTTTTAAATTCTCAGTTTTAAACAGTGTTTCACCATTTTGCCAAATTGGACTCAAACTTGTAATTCTCTTGACTTTCAATCTCTCAAAACACTGGGATTTCAGAAGTACACTACCATAATAGCTAACCAATGGTTTTTTCAATCTCATAAAATTATTTTAATTTAAGTTTGAAGTCCATGTTTGCCAGATATAATGGTTACATTCTTGGTGTGGAGCTGGTGCGTGTGTACAACACATATTAACTCTTTTTATATCTCCTTCGCTTCCCCTCCACTTCCTTCTAGCTCAAGGTCTCTCCTCATATGCAAAAGATTTATCTACCTTTTCCCATTATCTAATGTTTATCTTGCCCTTCAATTTATTTATACTTTGTGTTTCTCATACAAGAGAAGCCATACAACACTTAAACTCGTATGTTTGATTTATTTCACTTGACATTATGGTCTGACAGTACATCCATTTTCCTATAAATGAATCAAATTTATCCTGCTTTACAGCAGAGTAGTACTCCACTATTTGACAGAAATATCAGGATTTTTATCCATTCATCTAGTGATGGACATACAGGCTTTTCCCAATATTTAGCTAGTAGAAACTGTGCTGCTACAAAAAATGGGTATGTATATATCCTTATAATATTATGTCTTTAAATCTTTTGGGAGACTACTGAGGAAAATAGCTGAGTCAAAGGGGGTTGCTATTTTTAGATTTTTGAGTAATCTCCGCACTGATTTCCTTAGAGGTTATACTAGTTAATGTCACCACTAACAATGTAAAAAAGTTCCTTTTACCCTGCAACCTCACCAACATTTGTTATTCTTTGATTTCTTGTTGATAGTAAAGCTTTATGGTATTAATAAAGGTATGCGAGTTTGGAAACAGGAGAATGCAGTATAAACTGCAACCTTAAACTACATGATACGAGGAGGAGAGTGAGAAAAGGGCAAATGATCATACTGAAGTTAAAGGGATGCTTAGTGAATCAGGAAAATATAACAGAAAAAAGTCATGACAAGCAGGGGACTGAATAAAGGAGAAAATAAAAGTTGCATGAAGAATAAAAGACAGAGAAAAAAATTAACAGGAAAGAAGGCAGAGGAAGAGGAGGAAAAAAGAACACAGCAGAAATACTGAAGAAATAAAAACAGGTAAGAAATCCAGAAAAAGAAAAGAAAAGGAAATAGAGAAAAAAAAAAGCAAGAAAAATGGATGAGGAAAAACATTCTAAATTTCAATAAACTCCTGAAAAACAAAAAAAGCAAGGACACCACACACACACACACACACACACACACACACACACACACACATACGTGCACAAATACTATCATTAAAAAGAAAGGCAAAAACAGTTTCTCTGTATTATTTTGTTTGTTTGCTGCTGTTGTTATTTTTCTGTGACAGGGCCTCAGCGTATAGTTCATAGTATGGTTCAGAATTCACTATGTAGTCCAGCGTGGCTTTGAACTCACAGCAATCCTCCTGCCTCAGCCTTCCCAGTGCCACCACTTCCAGCATTTCTCTGTGACTTGAATCTTTGGGGTTTTTTCTCAGAATGTACACTTTTGGGGCAGTGTCCAAGATAAGATGTATACATTTGTTCTCACACTTTTAGGTAAACAAGGCAATTAGACTCCTGATCCCTGATGGATGTGCACATTTAACAGATAGTCGCCCAAGGGCATCCATGCTGCAACTTTCAGAGCCAAAGCAACTCAGTCCGAGGCTCGCCTCTGGCCGTGGAAGTATGGTTTGTGTTCTTCAGCTCCTGATTCAGGGGGTCTTTTTCCACCCCATTCTCTAGCTGTCAGCTGCCTCCTGTGACAGTCTCTCACCCAGTCACTCTGGGAATGTAACAGTAGGAGTCCTGGTGTCAAGTAACTGCTCAGTGTCCCAGAGTCAGACAGTCAGACTTTCCCCAGAATAACGTCTGATCAAGCACTCTCTCCAGCAATCTGGCCAGGGCGATGGAGGGAGCTTGTGGTAGTGTCACTCCCAGCTGCTACCCATAGAAGGAGGCCCTGGAAGCAGAGAGCCACTATAGCCTTGCAGATCTCAGCCCCTGATACTCCAGTCTGTTCCTCTGCAAGATTTCTCCCTGAGGAAAAATTCTCCCTTTCACTGTGAATCACAATCTCTACCTAGACTTAAGTGTCCACAGAGAAAATGCAGAGGATCCCTTCTCTTCTCTGTGTTTAGTACTGTTCAACTGCCTTTTTTTTTTTTTTGTCTTCATGGGGGAGGGGATTAATCTGCTATGTTTTTATCGTTTGTTTGTTTTCTTTTCTTTTAATTGGTTAAGGGCTGTTTCTGCATCTGTTGGGATCATTGTGTCTTATTTGTTATTGCTTTTGTTCTTGTCATGTGTATTTACAGATTTCTGGATATTGAACCATCCTTTCATTCCTAGGATGAAGTCTATTGTTCATGATGTATCATCTGTTTGAAGGTTTATAGGATTCTGTTTGTCATATCTGATGGAGGAGTTTTGCATCTCTGTGCATCACAGATATTGATTTGCAACTTTCATTTTTATTTGGGTCCTTGATTGGTTTTTGAATTATAGTACTACTAGTTTTCAAAATGCATTTTGAAGTACTCCATCTTCTTTGGTTTCATTAACTAATTTGAGGTATAATTGTGTTATGTACTCACTGAAGTTCTGATCTGATTCTGCTGTAAATCCACCAAGTGATGGTCTTTTATTATTTGGCAATTATTTTTTTATGTCTTTGGTTTTATTACCTGTTAATATATTTTTTTAAGTTTTGAGATTTCTTGTTCAGTTTTGGTAATTTGGTAATACATGTAAGAATCTGTTAATTTCTTTAAGATTCCAATTTGTTGGAATATAATTTTTCATAGTATCTACTGGTAATCTTTGGGATTTCAAACTTGTTTATAAGACTTTGTTTTTGATTTCCTAATTGAATTGATGTGGGTTTTTTCTTATTTTAGTAAGTTTATCAACAGCTTTCTCTCCGTTCATGCATTCTTTCAAAGAATCTGCTCTTCAATTCATTGTTTGCATCAGTATATTGTTAGTCTCACTTTCACTAGTTTCCTTGCTGATATTTATGATTTCCTTCCTTATCTGGAATTTGGATTTCAATGTTCGTTGTTTTTCTGGTGCCTTAAGGTGATGTTTTTTTAAACAGTGATCTTTTTAAGTTAAAAGTCTTTTATCTCCCATAGGTCATGACAAACTATGAGTCCCATAAAGTAGTAGTAAAATAAGAACAAGTAAATTTTTCGTAATACCAGTGGCTTATTATTGTGAATTCTAAAAGTGAAATATAAAAATCAGAGGGTTGAACATTCATCCCTAATACAGTGATATAAAAGCAAATCACCACTGGAGTTGATAAAAACTATGCCTTGTGTTCAGCAATCTGGAAAAGAGAGTTTTCCAGGACACTCTGCAGGGACAGGCAATGGAAGTTTCCAGATGCGGGTCATCTTTAGCATCAATAGCTTATCCAGTTAATGAGATAAATGTCTGTTATTTCATAAAGAACATGGGGAAACAGTGGTAGTCTTACTCTAGAACTGGAAAATAATACAAGGAAGGTAAAGGTTATATCGAAAACCATGTATGCAGCAACCCAACACATACTCTTTTATATAATAGTAAGGATTAGAAAACAATAGGAAATTTCACCAAGCCATGCTTTCATCAGTACTCCTAAGAAATTTTCATTTGTTACAAGACCAGATTATGAGGACTCATGTTCATGTTTCAAGAGTCAACATGAATGTGGTTCAAAATTCTATTTTTCTTTGATAAATAATAAAATTTAGTGTTTGTAAGTTTTAATGTGACATGAATTGGGAGCTTCAAAAAGGTACAGATTCTAGTTTTGATTCAAATAAGTAAACACTGAAAAGTAGAGTTAAGGATGAGATGTGATTTTTAAAAATAATATTACATATTTTGAATCTATAAGTTAACTAACATTTTAAGGATTATTTTTAAATATAGGAGCATATTACACAACATCATAAGCCTAGTAAAACAAATAAATCATCCTGTATCTCTGGAAACTTCTAAAATACAGTGATATTTCATTGGCTGGAAATTTGGTACATGAGCTTAAGACTGCTTTTAGCTGTTAAATTTCTACTCTTAAATAAAACTGTCATAAAAGTAAAGAATTATCTTCCAATGGTTAAAAATATTCCCAGAAAAAAACAAATGAATCTATAGTTCAGTGCATCTTCAACCTCTTAGAAGACAATTATATCTCTTGAACACATAAGTACACAGATTAAACAAATAAATAACTGTGTATTATAACTTGTTCAGATTTTGCTGTACATTTAATTGCTTGCATTTATTTATTATGTCAGTATTTTAAATCTAATTTAGCTCATAAGGCATGCAAAATACTATGAAGGAAAAATAAATTAAGAAGTAGAAAATAGGAGAGGTTAAATTACTAAATAGAACAAAGATATTTTTGTAAAGATATATGTTACTACTGTTTTATGACAATTATATTCTTAAAGTAGTGTGATATTGAGTAAATCACTCAATCCTCTTTGGTCACAGATCTTTGATTTATAATATGATCTCACTGGTCCTGTAAATCATAAAGATGAGAAGTCTGAAAAAAGATCGCCTAGACACACAACCACTTGAAGGCATTTAATGTGGCAAAAATAGGGTTTAGCGCCTCAGTGTAACCTGGGGTTATGAGTATCCCACCAAAGCACAGTGGTAGAGCCAACACAGAAATATTAAAGTTACCTTGACTTTTCCACCTATTACTCAGTAAAGTGTGCAGTACTTTTTAGGATGATTCACATCAAATATTTTAAAATATAGGTCCTTTTATTCTTACTAATGTAAAAAAGTACAGTAATATTAATACTTTGGTATTTTATCAGCAATATAATAAGTACCCAATTGAACATGTTGTGTTCTAGAAAGCATTTATAAGTATTATTTGTTCATAAATTCAACTAAAATGAGTCTCATACACCTTTGCCACCAATACTGTATATGATGTATATTGCTCTGCACTATCTCCTGTCTCTTCTATGCCACTATTGCTTGTCCTCTTGCTTCTGGGCATCCTGGGCTCTGACTGAACACTACTACCGTACACTGTGTCTCTGTACAATGAGCACACAGCACCATAGCTGTGGGTATGCTTAGCAGACACATGAGCTACTTCTGCAATTTGCTTGCATACGTGAATGCTTTTAATGAGAGTTTGTGAAAGTTTGCAACTCAAAATTCCATAAATCAGGGGCTTACAGTATCAGGGGATTGGGAAATAATAGAATCAGGTTATATCATGTACAGGTAAAAATTCTTTATGATGAATGTGATCTTTATGTATATTTACATGTACCAATAAAATCTGATTAAAAAAGAGCAATAATGTCATTTCATTATATACATTTTCTCCCAAAATAAATAAAACCCTTTTCAAATAAAGTTGACATTTACATTTCTATACCAATGTTAATTTAAAGTTGAAAATAGTATTTGAATACTTCATTTTGTTTCAATTATTTGTGTTGTTAAAATAACACTGTGAATTTTTATAATAAATATTTAAAGGTTATAATCTTATCTTTCTTTATTGTGAAAGTATTCTTTGACTTTGAATCTTCTTAAAGTCATAGAACACTTAGATTACTTAATTGATACTGAAAAAGAAAAATTATGATCAAAATAGCTCATATGCTATCATGATACAAATACAATGAGGCAGAGGAAACTATGTTTTATCCTGATAGTTACTTCAAATTCACAAAATATTTAATATAGATTGTTAAAAATATTTTATTGCTGTAGGTAGTATACTCAATGTATCTATTACATACTTCATTTAAATTTTATTGGCAATTTATACATATACCAGTTTGTAAATTTCAGATGATACCTTTTTGTCTCAGAGTAGGAATTTTTGTAGGTTTTTCTGCTTGTTTCTGCCCTAAAGGAATATATAAGTAAATAGTTATTGAAGTCTCAGACAACAAGTTGTTACATTTGCTTAAGATCACTTAGTTCATCTGCAAAATACATGAAGTTAGCACATATTTTGAATGATCAAGAATATGGAAAATATATACAATTCATATTAAAATAAGTGCAAGGGTAAGAATATTATGGGAGTTCAAGGTTAAGAAAATTATTGAAGAAAACAGCATACTTTGATATAAGAATATATCATATAACTAGAAAGTGGCTCAGTAAAATTTGAATATTAGTCTAGCTGATGTTACCATGCTGATCACTATCAACATCTTTAAAAGAATATTATAGCACAGAAACATTTGGAAATTTGTTTAAATTTAATTCTTCATTCAATGGTTTTTCTTCATGAAAACTCTAATTTTGATTTGTACCTGCATACAGATAGATATGTATATAGATGCAGATATAGATAGAGTTATAAATATTGATATATAGATGCATACATGCTTTGTGTACTGGAAAATAGTGTTTTTAACATTATACCTATTATAGAACTATACATAATATGAGAATATAATTGGTAGTGAGAGAATTGGTGCTTACATAGGACAGATGTTAAGAGGTTCAATATATTGAAGACTTTTTAGAGAAAATTATGTGTGAGCAGTATATTACAAACTGTCTTAATTTTATAGCTGTCAACCCTATTATTATATATAATATGATGTATAAAAAGCATGGACTTTGCAAAGAGATAAACCAGTTTAAATCTTGACCTTATTACTAATTAATGTGATGCCTTGGCAGTTACTTAACATCTCAACCCCCAAATTCTTCATCTGTAAAATAAATGAGAAAACTACTTCGAAAGCTTTATTCGCTGAAGATATTATATTGAGCTAGAATTCTAGTCTGTAGAGACAGATCAGCTGAATGGAAAAATGGAGTAACAAAAGCAATAAAGTAGATCAAGGTAACAGAAATATAATTTTCAATATACTTTTTTCTCATAACTTACAATTGAAAATGGAACATCATCTGGAATATGGCAACAAGAGTGATTTTCATAAATATTTGATAAATACCATTATAGGTGATAGAAAAATGTCCCTTTAATATAATAATTTTTTCACCTCAAGGAGGATGTAAAAACACTGTGAATTCATCTGAGATGATTTTTCAAATATTGAATGCTGTTTATTTTCTGGGCTAGTGATATGCTGTGCTATTCTCTCATCATGCTTAGAAATGACATTGAATCACATTTTCCAATCCATCATAGGATCATGAAGGGACCCAACAAATACTTTACTGTGTTCAGTGTTGCCAGGACCTTTGGATACAAGCTTTTAACAATTCATGTAAGATATCTCATACTTTATTATAAAATTAGTTTTAGGTGATTCTGCCTTTCTGTAGGCCTACGTACGTGTACCTAGCAGATTTCAATTAGGCTATAAAAAGGCATGATTTCATTAGGCTAGGAGTATTATATACATTTTGGCCTAAATTTTGTTAAATTTATGATACATGGAGTATAATTCTATCATTAAGTTAAGGAGTATCTTTATAAGACATTATTGTAACACGCAGAAGTGTCAAAACTAATTTTAAGTTGCTAGCTATTGCTTCTTAGAAAAACTGACATAAAAGCTACTATGAATGATATGTTCAAGTTAGATAAGAAATATTGGAGGGGAAAGCTTTTAGAATGTGCCAGAAACAGAGATAGATATCTGTGAAAACCCAGAATTAGGAATACATAAAATAATGAATAAATTGAAAACATTTCGGAATGGTTGCAAAAGGGTACAAAACAGAAGTGGTGAAATAGCCTTGGAAGACGGATTTCTAAAGCCTACTTAGATGACAAAGTCTTAGAAGTCAAAGAGAACATCCAGGGAGTGTATACAGAATGTGACTGACAGTGATGCCAGGAAAGAACATTGAATAGCTCTGTAAGTATGAATTGGAAATGCTAGGTAAAATAACAACCAATATTTTAATACATGATTGAATGCATAAATAAAATGTAAATATTCAAAAGCCAGAAATGTAGTGCTGGAATTAGAAATGAGTAGAATATAATAAGTACTTTGTGTATATGAATGTGTTTGTACTCTAAACTTACATTAGTCTATATCATGAATACATATATATATATATATATATATATATATATATTATATTTGCATCAAAACAAAGGAAAAGAAAGCTGAATTTATAAGGTAGATGCTTAGGTATTAATGCCAATATGGAGCAGAGGACAATTTTTAGTTTCATATAAAGTCCTGATCCTAACATCATCCCAGCACGCTTGCAGTTCAATCCCGAAGTACAGGGGTAGGTTAGATGACACCTCCTAGTACACCTCCATGTATCAACCTAAACCATGTGTGAAAAAAAAATTGTGTCCCTGAAAATCTGTAATCATGAAATGACCAGAAGCTTGTGCACTCCAAAATTCAACAAACCTCAAACTAAAATTTAAAGTACAATTAATCCAAGCTTCTAATAATTGAGAGTACACAAAGGAGCCACAAATGAGACAATATTTTCAAAATTCAACACAATGGATGTACACAAAATTAAAAACTATAGAAAGAATAAATAAGGTAAAATATAATGAGTAAAATTCAGCAGACTTAATAAATGACAGTAGTCATTTCACAAAATCTTCAGTTACTTAAAAGTTTCTTTTTCTGTAGAGACTATAGATTGAAATTTGACAGGTAGTTTAAAGTCAATTAGATATTGAAAAGATAAAAATTGAAATAAAAACCATGTAAAAAGTGACTCTAAGAAAACAGGCAAGCATTAAAAAGAAGCAAATAGCATACTTACACTGTAAAAATGAAGTTATATCATAAACTATAAATTAATATAGTTAGGAATTACAGGAGTAAAAATTCCAAAGAAATTGCTATTGCTGCAGTTTAAAAATTAATAACAATTTAAATGAAATGAAGAATCATGGAAGTTAAGGTAAAATTATGTAACATTCAAGTAATAAACTCAGAAAACATGAAGATAAATAAGGCCTACAATATTCAGAGAAAATTTCTTAGAAATTTCAAGAATTTATGAAAGATATAGCCTCAGATAAAAGAACTGCAATCTATCTGAAGATAAGTGCAAAAGTAATTTACATACAGAACTTTAATGAAACATGTAAACAGAAAAAACAAACTCATAAAAGTTGAACTTACCTGTAACTAATAGGTGGTATTGAATCCGGAAGGAAACAATCTGTAAGTATCTTTTATGATTATCTCAAATATCCCCCCAAAGCCACATGCACTCACAGAGGTGACTTTTCAGAGGTAGCTAGATCCTGGATGTACAGTGTGTGAATGTAAGTTAAGTGTGTTTCAAAACTAAGTTGGTCTACCAATTGAGTTAGTGTACTTCTGAATGTGGATGATGGGAAGTCCAGCCTGGATAGAGGATGAACCAACCAAGCAGCTTATAGCCTGAATGGAAATAAACTGAAAAGGATTCTTGGTGATCCTTCCTGCTGACTTGCCATGGACTGTTTCTTCCCTGCAAGGCCCTGCTGCCACACTGCTCTGCTTTGGAGCCAGCTGACAATGAACTAAAGCTACTACACCCTGTGAGCTACATAACTTGTGTGTTTTAAGTATTTTCTTCCAGCACTGTGGAGAGTAACTAACAGTCATATTAGTATCTGAAAAGTGAGGTTGTTTCTGTGACTGATCATGTGATTTATAAGCCCATTAAAGTAATGGACAGGAAGACATTGACAAAGTTTGGGGAGCCATATCATACTATGAGCAGAGGTTGATGGGAGATTATATTCAGAGCTGAGAAGACCAGAGCGTTGATAGAAATACACCTAGTAAATAAATTTTCATTTGAAAATAAGAACTGTACTAGCAGTTGAACTTCAGAGCATGTTGTGGTATATATAGGCAGGAAATTTTTCAAACTTTTGCCTGTGTCCAGAGACATGTCAATGGAGTAACTGAGTGATGGAAGAAATTTCTAGGCAGTCCAATGTTGAGGCAGTGGCATTGCTATCTTTTGGGGCTGTAAACCAATCTATGTTAAGAATCCAAAGCAAATGGATGAGAAAAATGATTTTAAAAGTTTTGAGTTTGGTCTGAAATGAACTTCAGTAAAGTGTCAGCCTGCCAAGATGGAACAAGGAATTTGGTTTCTGACAAGATTTATATTATAAAGGCAAGTACTTTGAAACTAAACAATAAAAATGATGATCTGAGACCATCACAAGAACCAGAAGGACTCCAGCCTCTGCAGCCTCAAAATGTAAAGCTGAAAGACTTTACTTTTAGAAGAAAACCCCAGAGCACAATCTTCCAAAATGGTTTCAACCTGGAGAATATGTTCCTCTGGATTGGGTTCATAGTATTTAGCAACACAGGCACTACAATGCCTACAGCCAAGAGAACGAAGCCTGTCTGCTGTTCTAGCTGGTGACAGACATTGAAATCACTCCCATGGTGCTGGTCGACACACACAGAGAATACAAGATTTGTGGAGTTCAGAAACTTCCATCCATATTTCTTAGGAAGTTATGGGAAGCCCAGCATTTTTCTAAAAAGGTTGAGTGTGAAGTTGTATGAAGAAGGGAAGATCCCAGAAGGCTGAAGTCAAGAGTGTGGATCTTCTCAGGAAAGTCACAGAGTGAGCAAGAACATGGGCTAAGAGAGAAGTCATGAGAGTGACAATCACTGGCAGTGCCATGGTGATGAACCCCCAAAGCCCTTTTGGGTTCACATCTTTTGACAGATTGCTGTGGGTGCTGACCATGGAACCTATGTTCCATGGGATGTAATGTTTGCCTTGTTGATCTTTGTTCTTGCTTTGCCCCTTTTATTCTTGTCTCAGTATTTCTAACATTTTGGATTGGAATGTATTTTTTGTGTTAGTGTATACTGCAAATGTTTAATTTTCTTTTTATCTTTTCAGGGGCTCAAAATTAAGAGTCTGCCTTAAATCTCAGAAGAATACTTGAAATTGGACCTTTCAACA